TATATATTAGTTATGAGACAAAATATATAAGTAATGTAAGTTTCACTTCTCCAATGTGGCCCAGGTGCGCTTACTTTTTTTTTAACAAATATATATCTGAGGGAAAATGAAAATGTAGAGATCAGAACAATTATATACTCTGCCGGTGCCGGACACATATCCGAATCTACTACGAACCAATAAAATTTTTACTCCGCCATCCTTACATACATGAATATAAAAAGGGCATATCTGAACCCGTAGCAAGAACGTAACATTTTATCAAGTTTTGCCCTCAAACTCTTTATTCACACAATACTAAAAATTTTAAACCAAATGGTCCAAACCTTATACCAGGGTTAATGTGATATCCACCGTATTTTTCTGAGTTTCATTAAAATATTATGGAAATTTATGTTTCCGTCATAACTTTGGATAAAACTCGGAAGTAAAAGAACTCTATAACTTCGTCATTGGAGTGTGCCATTAAATAGCCACATTAACAACTGTGCCATTCGGCTCGTGGCTGGAAACACAATCTCTTAGGTTTGGATATGAAGTTACCAGTGCGTGACAGTAAACAGTTTACTAATTATATACTTATATATTTATGTATATATGTACATATATACTAGGGATGCCAATCCCGCGATACCGGGATCCCGGTATTTTTCAAGGTTCCGAAAAATTTGAAATATCGAATTAATAATTTATGAATTTGAAGTATGATTTCTGACAAATGCCAGCCGGATGCGAATTTCGAGTAAATTGCGCAAAAATGGCAAAAAATTCGCCATTTACCATTTCTTTACGGAGTATAATAAACATGTTGATTTTGTACATATATTTTTGTTCAATGTTTTTTTTTATTCCCTCAGTTATTGAATTTTTAATCATATTTATAAAAGTTACGTCTCAATGTGAGTGCCGGGATTACACAAAAAATATCCCGAAATCACGATATCACAATTTTCCACATATTTTGGCATCCCTAATACATATGTACATACCAGGGTTGTTGCGAATATTCGCATTCGCATTCGCATTCGCATCCGCGTAGCTTCCGCATTAATTTTCACATTCGCATTCGCTTTCGCATTCGCAAAAATCAATGCGGATCTTTTGCGAATGCGAATATTGAAGGGACCGAAAATTACAGTTATTTTTTTACGAGTTAAACTTGGCCAAGCATTTTCTATTCCGAAATAAAAGTACTTTCCGGATAATAAACAAACCGCTTATCCAAATTAAACAAGTTTGGTATCCAATGAAAGGGGACTGATATAGCTTTAAAACACAAATGTCGAAACGAGGAAAGCCTCACATTGAAAAATATTTCAATAAAAAATGTTAATTAATTACCATAGAACAAATATTGGGTCAGGTATGTATTTACATGAATTTCTTTGGCATTAAGCTATAAAAAAATATAAATAGAGGTGGTAACCTTCATTCGTTATTTCTGTTTAAAAGCTATTTCAGTCCTCTTTCATATGATACCAAATTTGTTTAATTTGGATAAGCGGTTTCTTTATTATCCGGATAGGACGTTTATTTCGGAATAAAAAATATTAGGCCAAATTTAACTCGGAAAAAATAACTGTAAAGCATTAAAATGATTTATAAAAAATAAAATCGAAAAACGCCGTTGACGTGACAAATTCCGAAACAACCAAAAGAATGAGAATGAAGAATTCTTTCGAAAAAAAAACGGTGTTTAAACAACGATTGTGCCATGATGCTAGATTATGAAGATGAAAGTCAGGTGGATACATCCGACATTTGCAGCCCCGATGAAATTCTCAAAAAGTAATTATTGCACCGCAATAAAAATAAATAAATATAACTGAAAGTCCTCTCAACTGGTGCAGTGTCAATCGAAAAGAATTTACAATTTTGCCAAGTTTCAAGCTTTTCAAGTTTTTCGCCTCGAGCGAGTTGTTATATAGTGGCGCAGGTTTGATTTACGACCCTTCAAAAAGTTTTTATTAAGTACAATGTTCCAATTTTTAAATTCAATTACTAAAAAAACATTCAGTCTTATCATGAGTTTAATTTTCCCCGAAGCGGTTCACTTTTCACTTTCGGTTTTCATGTACTTACTTACTATGGGCGGAATAAAAATTTTCGGGTGAATTTTTTTGTCGGGCAAAACTCAGGATAAGGCAGATTATTAAAAATTATTAACCTTTCCATTTTTTATTTACCTAAATCACCTAATCTACCCACCTAAATTATTTCTTAAAAATACATGACATCCGCATTCGCATCCGCATCCGCATTCGCATCCGCGGATGTCTAAAATTCCACATTCGCAACATCCCTAGTACATACATATTTATGTACGTGATTTTCATGTGTGAAAATATGTTTGTATGTATGTAATAATAATACAATATTTTGGTTCTTGCAGTTTTGCTAAGTGTTTGGCCGAGCTTATCCTCCAATTCGTGTTGTGAGGCTTGATATTGTTAAACAAATGTAAAGACCTATACTTTTACTTCGTCTTCGAATGCCAAATGGGTTTTATGAGAAGCTTTGGCCATAGCAGGAATTCACTCAGATGTTTGCCGATTGCCTGGCGAAGGGCGACCGCTGTTAGAAAATGTTTTTATAAGTTAAGATTCTGCCCTAGAGTGGGATCCCCCTTCTTTTGATGACGACCCCGGACTGTAGATTTAATGGAGAATAGGCCTCCGCCCTTGCCAAAACTGGACAAAATAAATAATGCGCTGGTTTTTACGACGTCTACTACAGATGCAAACTCACGAAAGCCTATTTCCGATGAGGGAACGTCCGTCTGTACGAACGTCTGTGCCAGTATGTAGCGCATCTGAAGCTGCCCTGAACTCTGCCACACTTCTTGAGGTGGTGCTGTGTGATTGGAACGATTTTATCGCAGCTGCCGATATAGAAATTTACCCGTTTATTTGTTCAGTTTCTGCTCGGTAGCCCCGCCGCCCATTTCTGGTTAATAGGCACTTCTGCTTGGGAAATGCCGCGATTGTCCGGCAGCTTTGCATTTTTTTTTGTTATACATACAAATGATGTGATAGTCGAATGCGACTTTTCGGCATTATTTATATGCCTAGTGTGGTAATATAAAAATTGTTATCGGATTATTAATTTGGAACAAAATGTTTAAAAGCACAGCGAAGCAATTCGGCGAAACAAAGGACCAGTAGTGGTTAACATACATACATGCATAGATATGTATGTGAGGGATTCACCAGGATTTCGATCAAGCTAACCTTACCCAAACAAAGCGATTTCCACATCCAATCATGCAATATAAATATGTACATACATACATATGTACGTATGCATCTGTATCGATATTCAATAACATACGTACATACATACATACATACATACGTATGTAAGTTGATCTGCTCTTATTTGTTGCTAAGATATGTATGCTATTCCAGTGGCTACACCTCAGTGCTCACCTTTGTGTAGATGCTTACTGGAGTATGTGTGTGCCAGTAGTACACTAACCCGATTTCCAGAAGATAGGAAACAATAGCAAATAGCCGTACTTGAAATTGTAAAGAGTGGAGCACTAACGGTCAAAGAAACATGCAAATGTGGCAAATAAGCAATTTCAATTAAAAGAAAGAGCGAAGAAGAATTATTAATTCAAAAAAAAAAAAAAACAGATTACTAAAATTAATCTTCAGGTAAAACCGACAGACAAAGAAAAACAATAATAAAGTCACATTGCATTGCCCATTTTGCTGTAAATGTTTCTAACAGCTGCCAGCAGGACCGAAAAATCTGCTGTATGTTCTCTACTTAATACATATACATATGTATGCATATCCACACACATACATACATATTAAAGTACTTATAAATTTTGCTAACTAAAACATACCAGCATTAGATCAGTAGTGTTAGTTTTATTACTGTACTGCAATGCGGAGCGGAATAAGTGTGGTGGCAGCCACGGGTGGATCGACCGGCAAATAGTAATTGCATTTAATTGCACTCAAACTTCAATTTAAATTTCATTCGTTGCAAATTAACAAAGGTTTTCTGTGTTTAGCTTTATTTTTGAGTGTTGAGTTTGAAGTTAGCCTCTTGTTCTGTCCACGGGTCACCGCATCTGCGGATATGACTTAGACAATGACCCAGAGTGAGGCTTCGGTGCACTGGAAACCACAAACAAGGAGATGTTGAGGTTGCGCTCTAGGCACTACAAACCGCTTTCTGACGGGGCAAATAACTATTCGCCAGAGCATAATTGACAAACTTGTTAAGCCAAATGCCACTGCATTTCGAAGCAGTCATTTCTAAGTGCTTAAGTCAAGCAATACTACTACCATAGCTGCCACTCTAGTCTCGTGATGCCTGATTCCGAATATTTCGCAAGGAGCTTTTTCTTTCTTTTCGATAGGATTTCAATATAAGCACATCTACGTACATACATATGTACGTATGTATGTATGTATGTATGTATATGCATATCATACATGCAAGTGGACATAGCCGCAAGTGGTTGAAAAGCAAAAAAAAAACAAGAAAAACAGTGCCAGTGCCATTGCGATGTGAACATTTCTAACAAAGAATGCAACGGTGTACAGTAGCAACAACACCAGCCAGCATCGCCGCCACTAAGCGCAACAATCAGTATTAAATAGTTGCGTGTCGATCGTAGCATCAGAATAAATTCTCTCACCATTCGACCCACCCAACAGCCCACCGATCGCCGCTCTTTCTTCTAATCCAAGCAACGAGTACAGGCCACCACAGAAAAAAAACGCTATTACTTAGAGAGCAGAAGAATTTCCAGTGCCTGCTACCACCAGCAGTAAATATTTATGGTTGCTCGCTATTTGTTTTTGTGGGTGGTCAGGTGAAACAGCGCCTCGCATCTTCCATTAGTTGGCCAGCCAGCCAGCGCACACTATTCGCTCGCCGTCCGTCCTCTATTGCATGCTTATCACTTATGTATGTATGAGTAACCGCGTTTAAATACAGAGACTCTAACTGACCGAGTACTCAGTTGCCGTGTTGTTCTTAAAGTTTTCGGTTGGTCTTTTTGCGCCACTCCATACGAGTTCCATAGTTAGTTCTATGCATTTTCTGTTTGGGCAGTCAGTGGATATTTTTCGCATCACTTTCTTTCGGCAGTCTTATCTAAAGGATACATACAAATTTGATTTTGCGCAACCAAAGCTTATCTATCGCTCAGCTGCAACTCAGTGGAATGCTGCCGCATTTATTCTTGTTGATCTGTGCGTTATGCCTTGCTGGCAAAGTGGTTCGAGCTGAAATTGAAAAAAATACCATCAACGAGGACGGGTCATACTCGTTTCGGTAATTCCAGAAACGCAAAGGAAAAGTTCTTTTTTTTTATGCTTCGGAATAGTTTTATGCTTTCATGGGGTTTGTAATTATCCCCCGAGGTTTGAAAGCTTACTTCGAGAGTATTTAGAGCCATTAAAATATCCGTCAAGTCCGCAAAAGAGCCTAAATCGAGTTCTGTTCATAAAAAATTTTATTTGTAGCCAGGCATATCGAAAAGTAATTTTAAGTAATGTACACCTTACATATGTATCCTTTGGACAGCGTGTTGGTTTAACGGTTGTTGAATTAAATCATTTTATGCTCGTTTAAATTTCCGTTAACACAAGGCACATTAAACAGGTGGTAGGTAGCATTAGAGCAAAAACTATGTACATTTACGTGTTGTTTTGTTGTTGCTTCTGGTATCTAAAGTTTCAAAAACTGTTACGATTTTCTCTTGTAAATCAAAGTGTGCCATGTGAAACAGAAAAAAGTTGAAATTGGAAAAAAATAAAAATTGTTGCGACTTTCTTTCTTAGTAAATTTGTTTGCTCTCCGAAGCATTGTTGATCCATCCTTTGCAAGACCCAATCAGCGTTTGTGTGGCTAAGTTAGGTGAACGTTTCAAAAGCAGCTTTTCAATCGCCTGTTTTGAATGGAAAAAGGTTTCACTTGCAAACAGATTTTGGCAATTTAGAATTTTTGTGAGGAGAAATTAAACATATTTGACATTTTAGAGACCAAATAATTAAATGAAAATCAAATCAGTTGCTCAGCTGATACTGCCTTTTCAATATGGCTTGAGTTAACATGAAATTGAAAACTGTGATGAATTTCGGTGTGGTGTTAAATTTGTGCAAATGTTTTTCAACGATGTGATGGGCAAAAACTGTACTTTGTGAGAATATACTAAATTATTTAGTAATCTCAAGAAGCCCCAAAAATACTGAAATAAACCCGAAAAACCGAACATTCCCTAAAAGTTCTGCAAAAAAAAAAAATAAAAAAAAAGTTCTCAACATCCCCAAATTTCTTAAGACTTGGAAAGGCAAAAGACGAAAAATTTCAAAAAAAAAATAAAGAACAAAATCCACAAGTGCTTTAAACGGCTAAAAGTTTGTCTCTTTAATTCGGTTTGCAAGGTACGATAAAGGTTATATTCTGAGTTTTCACATTAATCAAAAATAGTTGCTTGTGGTTTCAAGTACGCATTTTTTACAACGCTTTTATCAACTTGCAATGTTGTGCGTCCAGAAACTTTCAATGTTGTGGATCCAGAAACTTTCAATGTGGTGTGTCCGACACCATAAAACCTTTGCTTTAAAAAGTTCCTATAAAAAAGTCTAGTGCATAGGGCGACATCTGTAGTGAATAGGGCGAGGTAGATGACATCTAGATGTCGCCCTATGTACTACGTTTGCTACAGCGGAAATAGACGACACGCCATTTCTTTAAATAAAATTAATTGGTGCTCGTTTGTATGTACATACATATGTATGTAAATGCATGTGTGAGCACCTTTCTATTAATATCGTTGAATTATTTTAATATCTATTGCAAACTTTTATTCAGACAGGACTAAAAAGTAGAAAATAAATAATATAAAAAAAACTTTTTAATATACAACGCTTTTATAAATGGACTACAAAGTAGAAAATAATATTCCTCAGTCCCATAGAATTTGTTTTGATAACTTTTGTCCTTATGAACAATCTATGAAATTGAAAATGAAAAACGTGGAGCGCATGTAATACACTTGAATTGATATGAAAAGTAATATATGTATGTATGTATGTGGGTATATGAATAACGACCGCTTAAAATCGATTTCAAAGTTCTACTTTCGCTGTAGAAATCTTAGGTCTACGTTATGTAGTTTGACTATTGTCAATTAAATCGAATGCTTTTTATTGCATGCGCTCCACGTTTTTCATTTTCAATTTCATAGATTGTTTATAATGACTTCTGCTAAAATTTCAAAATCAAAAGTTATCAAAACAAATTCTATGGGACTGAGAAATATTATTTTCTACTTTTTAGTCCATTTATAAAAGCGTTGTACATTAAAAAGTTTTTTTTTATATTATTTTAACCATCAACAACTTTGCGACATGCATACGTATGGCAATACGACATTTATTATACCTTGCGAATTACCAGCAAAAATTGCCGATAATTTTTTATTTTTTTTTAACCGTTTAGAAATCCACTAAACACCTTGGCCTTTGGGTATTCAGTATTCATCATCGCGGAAAGTTATTTATGTAAATGGTACTTATCTGATACGTTCTAATATATGGTACATATTTAGGAGTACATGGAAAAAAGTAGCATTTACATATGCAAATACATACATATCGTGTAAGAGCCCTGCAAGTAATATGTAAGTTTTTAAAAAGAGTAAAGGTAAGAAATATAGTAACTATGACTATGAAAAGGGCAATAATTTTAGGTGTTGCATTGTAATACATATAAGATTAAAAATTACTTTTGAAATATCCCCAATATGAAAATTAATTATGAAAACCTAAGTCAATACAGTTACTGAATGAAATTCATTCATTTTATTCGCGTATTATTTTTTAAATTTATTTTCATTATTTTATCATACATTTTGGTATAAAAATTTTGGCCCCTCGGCAACACTGAAGTTTACGAGGTCGTTTGCGCATCAAATTTGCCTCGTATATGTATTTGCGAGGGGCTCGTAAATAGAGCGTCAAACATATTTTGTGCAGTTCTTTTACGAGACTCGTAAATTTACGAGCTTTACGAGCCTTTTACGAGTTTAAGGGCAGACCCCTATCATCTTTTGGCGTCTACGTGCGCAATAACTTGCAAGAAAAAAGAAAAAAAAGATAAAACACCAGTTGCATTTTACATATGGAACAGAATACATTTTTGTAATTGCAAAGTTAAAACTGCAAAAATTGAATGATTTAATTAAATAGTAACCACTTGCAATATAAGCGTCTGTGTATTTTTTTAACATATTTTGCTAACTGGCTTCATCTCAAAAATTGAGTTACTGGAAAGTTACCGGATATTTTTTTTTTTTACTGGGGAGTACGCATGCACGGTTAGTATTGCAACTTTGGCTTTTTTGCTCTTTTCTTAGTGGTGAAAGTATTCATCCCAACTCTTAATGCAAATAACTTATGCGGAATGAAATGTGGACAATTTCTAAGCAGACTTTAAAAAATTCTGGTAAACACAGCAGCCAAACTAAGTATACCAAAATCAACTGTGCAATCTTAGCAAGTATTCCACTAAAAATAATCTCGTTGTATTATATAATGCTGAAATAATTTTCTTGAAAGCGAACGAACTCTGAAAATTTTGTATACCGAAACTCAATGTCACGAAAAGTAACGCGCTTTCTCATTTTTTCTATACAAGGCTTAAAAAACACTTTATTTACTAGAAGGAAAACCTACGAGTGCGAAAAAATATATTTCACATAGCAGCGAAATGAGACCGTAACAAGAATCATAAATTGCTTGTTCTCTCTGAAAAATCACAGCGTATAATGACAATAAGGTACAAAGTAAGCAAAAAAACATTAGAGACTATGCTAGAGATATAGTGAAATATGTGCAAACCACTTTACCTAAGATTTGTTAAACATTGAAAAGGAAAATTAAAAGCGGATATGAGCGCTTTCCCAAAATTTGCTTGCACCACATTCATCTCAGTTTTGTACAACGGATTAGGGAAATATTTTTCATTGGGGACCCATAAATAATAATTATAGATAGGCGCTTACTCATATGCTTGTGTTTGGCTGAGCTTCACCTCCGACTTGTGGCGTGCGCCTTGATATTGTCTCATCAAAGGGAGGGACCTAAGTTTTACGCCGACTCCGAACGGCGATTGTATTTTTATGAGGAGCTGTTTTTCATGGCAGAAATACACTCGGGGTTGGCCATTGCCTGCAGCTTTGACCAGGGCTTGAACCTAGGCGCTGCGGAGTGGGAGCGCGCACTGTTTACCACTACACCACAGCGGCCGCGACCCATAAAAGGACCCCAAAATATATAACTCTGAACTGTTTATCGTCTAAATAGCAAAAAAAAAAAAAAATTATAACTCATATTGGCACAATGAAGTCCCAATTTAAACAAATGCCCTCCGTACTATGCCTGAAAACTTAAAGAGGCCAATCGTTATGTAAATGAGTCTTTTCTATTAAAAATATTTCTTGAAAATTTTGACAATATTTATGTGAGTTGAAATACAATATTTGTTGCATCCGAAAGTATAGCTGTTTCTTTTTACCGCATCAGTTCGCATTTCATTCCGCATACGTTCGTCAAAATTTTGGGAAGGAGGAACGGTTGAAGAAAAATATTTCTATGACCCGCCCTCCAACTCTTCATATAATTTATTCATGATGCAATAATACAAGGTTGTATCCGTTGTGACAGCTCGATTTGACACTGCCTTAGCTCAGTAGAATGAGAAGAAAAGCGGGAAGAAATGAATCCCCATATGGGGGAAAAATATAAAATTTCACTTTTTGTCCTTAACAAAATTTGCTTTTTTATAGTATATTCGTTATGAAATGAAATAAAATAAGATAAAATACCTTTTTAAGAAAACAAAGTGTGTATACTGAGAAAAAATAAAAAAACATTCAACTATATTAATGGGCAAAGAATAGTTAAAGAAGTGACACTGTTTCACGTAAGGCAGTCGATATGGCGGAATTAGAGCGAGAAGTTGCCAACTGATAACCCCTGTATTATTACATCATGTAATTTGTTAAAGCATCCAGTAACAAGTGCCGATTAACATACAATGTATGCGGGGCGCGGTCATTTCTCCTGTGCCTCGCATTCGATGCAAATGGAGAATATATATACGTGTATTATCCAAAAGTTAAAATTTTTTTGGTTTCTTTGAACCTTGATCATTATTAAAAAAACTTAAGTTTAATTTTTAACTTTGCAGGATTCGCCAAGTTGTCCGTACTTGTGACGTTATATATAACAGACTTCCAAAAAATGTAACGTTAAAGACCACTTGAAACCACATTTATCCTTAAAGATAGGAAACAAGTGGCTGTATGTATATACTACATGAAAAGTAGGTTCTGAGGTTTATTATCGGGATTAGAGAAAAACTGTCGGCTTTTACACAACGCTTCGGAAATATAAACAGAAATATACGTGCGACTTTAACGTTAAAGACAACAATTTTGACCATAATATGTATAATCTAACGCACAAAAAACCTCATTTTGATTAAAGTGTTTAATATGCTGATTTATTTAAGTTAAAGCACATTTTCGGGTCAATTTAAATACATTAGCTGAGCACTTCTAGAATGGATGCTGCATAAATTTAAGCAAATCGTTTAAACACCGAAATTCTTGGGGTCCACTTATCTCACTTCCGTTAGTACATTTTTTGAAATTTTCAAATAAAAATTTCACGGTGGAGATTATATACAGTTATGAGGTTTACATGGCTTTTTTTGAGTTTTCGTGGCCATTTTCTTCATAAAAAAGGAAGTTAAAAATAATCAAGATTAAATAAGTGTAAGAATTAAATATCTATTTTTTGTAATTTTTCAAATATACATATGTACATCATCGGCAACGCCAAAACCGCCTACACCTACAGACACTCCAACGATGACATTGGTAGCTACTATCACAGCGCCTCAGCGGGTCCAGACAACATAGTGCGAGGTCGTTATGGTTCGCGGAATCCTGCTAGTGGACAAGTGGAAGAAGTTGTCTATACGGCGGGGCCACGAGGGTAAGTATTCAGAGATCCCTTTTTTTTAAAGATACACATATGTATGTAATACATACCTGCATAAACCCTGTGGGGAAAATCTCTAGATGTGAACCGATGCGCTTCTAGTACATTTAGACCCACTACAAGTTCGCGATAAAACTCCTTTGCTTGCAAACAACTGGCGATGTTAAAGGAATTGGAAATTGTATTTCAGCGAAAAACCCGCCAAGCAAATATCTGTTTAAATTATGGCGTTTCCTTTTCTCGAAAAAAAAGGTCACCTCTTAAATATATGGCAACATTACTAGAGTGCAACATTTTGGGGAAAGATCACGCAATATGCTGAGAAAAGAACATAAATAAAAACTTCACAGCCCTGGCGTATGACAGAATAAATGCAACATTATTTCGAGAAAAGAAAACGTTGCATAATTTTGTCGATAGTTCCGAACCAGTTCTAAATTCTTCATATTAGATATATAAGTATATTTCTAATGTAAAGTTTTTTTTATTCGTTGGGACTTATCAAATTTTCTGTGCCTGTTTTGGACTTGGCAAATTTGCATATCACTGAACCAAAGCGGTTAGAAATAAAATAGGTAATTCGATCGTTTGAAAATTGTTCTTGCTTTTTGGAATTAAAATAAAATTTTTTAGAAAAAGTGGATTTAACGGCAACTTTTCACTCTTAGGTAGTGATATGAAGTTTTAAAAAGTAAAATAAAATAGTTTTTTTAAAGTGTCGCACTGCTACATACATACATACATACACATTAGCGTGGGCCGAAAATCCGTTTTTTTTTTAGAATTTTGATAGGTAATAGCAAAAATATAGTTCATTATGCTTTAAAAAAAAAATCTGTGTGAAATTTGGAATTTTTTGGTCAATATCCTAGGCTCGCCCAAGTCCATCAAAGTTCAATATGGTTAAAAAAAATAAAAATTAAGAAATAAATAAATTAACACATTTTTTTTTACTTAAATTGCAATAATCTTCGAAAGTATTAGTTCTACATAATTTGGTATATCGACTTTTTTTGTATGTAGAGAATAGAAGTTAGCTAAGAACAATTTTTTTTTTAATACTTGAACTTTGATGGACTTGGGCGCGTCTAGGATATTGACCAAAAATTTTCACATTTCCAAACAGTTTTTTTAGAGCATAATGAACCATATTTTTTTGGCTGATGAATTTGATTCTGTAGCTGAATAGTTTTAGATCTCGACACTTAACAAACTCCTGTTTCCACTACTCGGCACCAAAAAACTAAAAAAAAGAGGTTCCGTACGTCATGCAGACTGCGCCTCTCGTGTCGGTTGGGCGGGAATGGAGGGTAAAAAGCCGTTGGGATTAATTAATTAATTAAAATTCTAAAAAAAACGGATTTTCGGCCCACGCTAATACACATGCATACATACATACAAATTTATGCATACAGGCATATGAACATAGCCAAAAATTAACAAATGCGCATCACATAAAAAATGTGACGTATCATTGCAGAAAATTAAAATTAAATCTTATTTCCAAGCTGAACATTCGCCAGCACACTGATGTATGTATGTACATACTTAGTAAAAAACCACTCTTCATATACACACACACATATGTACATATGTATGTAATATTAATAATAATACTCATTTACTAACTTAAAAAACGTAATTTTTTTGGAGCCGCGTTTAAAGCTTCCAATTCACCCTGAAAATGCAGGCAAGAGAGCTTCCCTTCTGACGCGGAGCCTATGCCAGATTTTCATAACGAAATGTTTACACAATCTGCATCATCATGTAGTGAGTAATTCTGCGTTATGAGCTCAAAATTTCCGCTGTTTTGAATTATCATACATATCGTCGTTTAAAGTACAAAACGGCGTATCAACAAAATGCAAACCGCGTAAAAGCATTCATATTTCAAAATGGTTCTCTTTTTGTTTTATAAAGGAATCGCATTTCTGGCTAGTTTATTTCAGGACGAATGGATAAGGATTGAACCAAGAGCTGTCAGTCACGTGGTTTTGCAGAATGACGATACGCGGTTTTGTACTTTAAACGACGATATGTATGCATACTCGTCTGTAGTATGTACCCCAAACACAAATCAATCCGTCTTCAATTAAAAACACACATCTATGTATGTGTGCATATACATATGTATCTATTTATTCTATGTATGTACATTAGGGTGGTCCCTTAATGCAAGGCGTCTCAACCGTCTTCAATCGGGACCAACGTTTATAGTTGATATTTTCGACTTCGACTATGAGACTATCGGTTTTGGGTATTAGATGAAAAAAAAAAATATAGTTTTAATTTTTTAATTCCAATAAAGGAATCTGTAATTTGCCCCCTGTGCGCCACGCCTTAACAGTCTCTAATCGGCACCAAGATTTATATGTGATATCTGCGACCGTGGTACTACCGATTGAGGGGTTGAGACTGAAAAAATGCTTTCATTAGATTTTTAAGAATCACCCTAATGTACATATGTATACTGCAGAGTTTTATTGCCTGTTTCGTAGTTGTGGCGTCTGCTATAAATAAATAATGTATGTATTAGGATGATTGCCTCCATTTTTCAAAACCGGGTTTCTTTTGATATTTTTAGACGTTTTTTTTTGAATGTTAATCAAGTTTATTTATAATTCAGAATCTTAAAATTCTAAATATTTATTTTATTGGAAGTAGAATTAGAAAATTTTTATTCTGTGCACTTGATAAATTAAAAATTTTTATAATTTGTAAATTTTTTGTTATTTATCAAGAATTGGGATTCTAGCACAGAAATCAAAAGCTCTGTTCTTGATAAATAGTCAAGATTGAAAATGCTATTGACAAGCTCACCCCGAAAAAAATCCTGGCTACGGCCCTGGAAGGAGGTACTTCACCGCCGAACTCATTCGCTTCCCTTCCGTATCCAACTTGGAAATAGTAGAACAGACTTTGCGCGATTTTTGTGATCGATGATGTCGATGTCATCAGCATAAGCCAGCAATTGCCACGCGCTTGTAGTAAATTTAAACCTTTTCTTGAGCGGTTCAGTTCTGCAGCTATTATTTACTATCTTTGCCAACATCAGATTAAAGAAATCACATGAAAGCGAGTCGCCATGTCGGAAACCCTGTTTGCTGGTTGTATTGCAACAGTAAGTTTTACTATATAAAAAATAAAGCCAGTTTACCCGGGTCTTTCCTAATTTCGAAATGGGTACGGGGGGTTTTTTTTTCCAAATTGCCCTTTTTCGAACAACTCGAAAACCGGTTGGCGGAAAAAGGCGAATAATCGAACACCCTAGTATGCACATAAGTACACCAATACATATATGCATTTGTTAAGGTACTCTCGCCCTTTTAAGTTAAAGCTGGCGGAAGTGCGCTGAAGCGAAAATCGCACAATTTTAGCGCATTGTCTCGCCGAGTTTTTCATCTTTTAAAGTTCAATTTCAAACCAACAACAAGAGAGTAGACGGTTTCGACATTTGGTTTTGGTTTTTTTTTTTTTTTTGATTTTGGTTTTAATTATTCTTCACCTCAGCTTTGAAATGTGCAACGCATGAAAAGTTTAGGTTTCTTATAACCACAACGACTTGAGCGGCCTACGCAGGTATGCCAATAGCTCTGTGGTCACAAGCAACCGCTTAGATTATAAAGAGATTCTCCTAATGGAGCACATACATATGTAGACGACTCAGTTAAAATCAGCGGAAATAAATTTCTTGCAAAACACCAACAAAAAAAAAAAAAATCATGAAAACCCAACAGTTATATGTATGTATGTATGTGTGTGTGTACAAATATTTGAGACGCTTAGGGACCGAAAAATTCAGTTGTAAATCACGTTTAGCGACAGAATTTATGAATTCTTTGTTTTATGAATTCAAAAATGGTTCCGTTTATGCATAATTGGTGAATTCATGAAATGAAATGAGAAATTTTATTTGGAAAAACTTAAGTTTTTAAGGGTCTTTTTCTCTGGCAACACTGGCTGTAATCGATGCTCCACGCCGGTAATTTTTCGCAATCATGCCCCGCCCATCGCATTTCCTCTATTGTGGTGATGTCGGTCTGATATTCCTTAAAGCAAGCCAGCAATTTGATGTGGCACCTTTCCTATGGAGTCCCCGGACATTCCCAGTACAACTCCGTATAGCGTAGTCCCACTTTCATTTGGTGGGTCGACAAAGTTTGGGGGCAAATAACTGAAGCTGTTTTGGCTTTTTCATTGGACCTGTTTTTTACTTTACAGGTCCCAAGCTTAGTGCACAACCCCTTGGTTCACATAGTTAACAAATTGTAATTTAATGTATTACATACATATGTTCATATGCATGTTCGAACACGCCACTTGAACAACACTTATACGCAATACCAGAACTTAATTAATGTATTCTCGGCGTTTAGCTTCCGGGTTAATGGACCGAAAATTCACCGCAAAATGGATTTGGCGCAATATCCCGTATATCCACGAGGCAGTCCGGACGACCCTTTGGCTGATCCTTACGACGATCCTTCGTATAGTTTCAGCTTCCGTTCAGGGGACCAATCCCGCACTGAGAATAGTGATTCCAGTGGTCGAGTGAGAGGTAAGACAACTTACGACATTTATGGAAAAAAACCAGTTCCTTATTCTCCAATCTACTTGTAGGACTTTATTCATTCTTAGATGATGTTGGCGAACGTCACAGCGTTCGGTATGCAGCGGGTGCGGGAACCGGGTTCGAGGTCTTTAATTCTATACCAGACAATCCGGCGAGTGTGGCATATGCGGCTCCACTTTATAAGGCTCATCCAAAGACGCGCGGCAAGATGACCACCCAACGTGGGCCTGATGGTACTTATAAATTAATTGCCGCCGGTCCTGACCACCGTCGTGCAGAAAGCCGAAGCTCAGATGGCGTTGTGAGAGGCACTTACTCCTATTTAGATGATTCGGGTGTGCAGCGCACTGTGGAGTATATCGCCGGTCCTGGCATTGGGTACAGAATAGTGAAGAACAGAATGGGACCCGGATCGCATATAAATCCCTCTATAGCTGAATTTCGATTGAGCGATACGGATTTTAAACTGGCGAGTGATTTTGGCCGGGGGGCTGGTGGAAGTGAGTTAAGCAGAGGCGGAGGAGACGGTAGTCGGAGTAAAGACGTTGATAACATCAACACTTTTGGAAACTCGGGAAAAGTTCGTACATCTAATGAAAATGAATCGAATGATAATAACTCGGATGATAGGATCTCAGTACCCAAGAGTGGCGGTGTTAATAGAGGAAAAAGTGATCGGATGGGTTCCGCAAGTAGCAATCGCGGGACAACTCGCTATGGGTCGGGCAATGAGGGAAATAGAGGAGGCTTGTTGGATGGCGGGTATGATTACAGTTCGCCCCGAAACCGAGGAAAGCCAGACAGTAATCGAAACAATAATCGCAATGTAATCCCATCCGATGACCGCAGTGGCATCCGCAGTCGAGAACCAAACTATTCGCCATCACGCGGTTCCTCCAAATCCAGCATCCCAATGGGGAGCAGTCGTAGTGGCGGCTCTGGTGGTGATGGTAGTGCTTACAACTACGATTCAACGTCATTATCGGATTCACTAGATTTCAGTGATGATGACCTTGGATCGTTGCCACCATTAATAACAAGCAACCACAAGATACTGCAATTGAATCGCGATAGAGATTGGTTGCATCGACACCGCGACTCCACGGTTATAAAAAATGTTGGAAAATGGTATATCGGACTTCCGCCGGGACACAGCGTGCGTGCGCATGTGCAGAATATAGATTTGCTTCCGCTTGGTGGACGACGGGTGCCGTCTCCATCAGAGGCATTGCGCCAGGATGAAATTGCAGATATGATGACATCAATGGAGAATAATGCATCGACGTACAATAGCTAGGGCAAAAGAAATAAAGACAATAATTTCGAAAAACATATATGTATGTATGTACATATGCGCAATAATGGCAAAAATTATGCCAAGCTTAAAATATACATTTTTAATTAGCATACTATAATAAAAACAAAAACATACATTAAGATAAAAGCACTACATTTTAGTAATTGTGACTTTCGGTTATTTTTCATAATTATTTGGCCTTTTAAGTAAATCTTATGCCTTTTATAAGGAGCCTTTTTGCGACAGAAGTGCGAAAAAATATCCTCATTCCTACCCTCATTCTGAAACCTTACCTGCGTTGAAATTATGTATCTGCTGGCGGCCTAAGGAAATTCTATTATTTAATTACACTGCATCACAAATTTGACTTTTGTTTTTGTTCCCCAGACGCCACTATCCAATTTGTATGTAGAATCGCTCGCTGATTCCGAAAATCAAGTTAATTTTTTTTTGTATGGATACGTTTTCGAGATATTTGCAATTTTCCGTTATTCAGCTTAAAAAAAGAGTGATTGAATAATCGTAATACGCGATACGGCAAATGAAAGTAAATAAAATTCTCCATAAACCGTTTATGCCTCACTTTTCGATAGTCCTGATAGTTTCCGAGAAATTAATTATCATTCCAGATTTTTTGTTTTTTTTTTTGATGAAAAAGTTCAAAGTTTAACAGGGAAAAAATTAAAAAAGTAACAGTTTCTGGGTAATTTTTTGTTATTTGTGTTACAGCCTGATCACTTGTAAAATAATTAAGCTACCAGTAAAGCAAATCGATGGATAAATAAGAAAACGAACGATTGGTCAAATAAAAAAGGCGCAAGGATTGTTTGTATGAAATATGAGCAGAAAAGAGTGTTACTCATACGCCACGTACACCTGAGTTGGTAAAGTTTTGCATCGAAAGCAAGAGGTTTTAGAAATGTTTAATTAATTTCTCAGAAACTATCAGGGCTATCGAAAAGTGATGCACATACGGTTTATGGAGAATTTTATTTGTTTTCATTTGCCATATCTCGTATTACGATTTTTTAATCAGTTCGTAAGATATATGTGATTAAGTGAAACCACTCTTTTTTAAGCTGAATAACGGTAAACTGCAAATATCTCGACAAGTCATCCATAGAAAAGAAAATTAATGTAGATTTTCGGAATCACCGAGCAATTCTCTATAGGAATTGGATAGTGTCATCCATAGAACATTTTTGCTGTAAACAGTGTTATTAATATCTTTAGGGAAAACAGTACGGCGTTTTTTTTCGGACTGTGTACGTAATTAGAAATTTATAAATGAAAGTTTGGTTTTTACATCAAAATGGTGTTATGGATAGGAATTAAAAATTCACTTTGGAAACAGCGGGGAAACATTTTTATATAATCCCAGTATTAGATAGTTTTTTTTTTTTTTTAACACAAAAGGGAAACGATTGGAGTGCTTTAGTGAATTCCTCCAAAATCGAAAGGGTGTTTGGAGCGCCAAACAAGTAGGGGAAGAATATTTGCATTGCCGCAACAAAGAAGGATGATTTGGCCAAATATAATGCCGATTTCGTTTCTACCGAAAAATGCAACCTTCTCTTTGCCCTCTACGTACAAACACTAAGAAGAGGGCGATGAGAAGGCAACATTTTTTGTAGACGAATATCGTCACCAGAAATGCAAAAAGACGTAACAACATCGTAAAAGAAATGGAAAAAGTCGTGGGTAATATTTTAATTTTTAACAGACTTCCAAAAAAGGAGGAGGTTATCAGTTCGTCGGAAAATTTAATTTTTTGTCTTTTTGTATGTTACCGCATAACTTTGGACCACGTCAACCGATTTCGATAATTCTTTTTGCATCGGAAAGGTAGTGTCTCAAAGATGGTCCCATACTAATCCGATCACTGGATCGTTTTTTTTGCTAAAAATTACTTGTTTTCCATAAAATGATGTGGGGAGTTGTAGTTCGATGAAATCCATCACATCAATCAAAAAGTGAATTTTGAATCTTGAATTTTTCATTAGTTTTGACTTTTTGCATTTCAACGATGATGTTTGTTACGTCTCTTTGCATTTCAGGTGACGATATGAGTTCTACTATATCCGCTTTAGGGAAACTGACAACTTAAAAAAGATTTCATAAATATTTATATATGAAAGAGCTGGATGCAAGCATACTCTGTGGCGAAATACTTCAGTTCTGAACAGGTGCCGACTACTGCTTCGTGATATATCTCTTTTGAATGCAAGCAACCGGCGAATTTCATGTGGGAATTGTGGCCCGCTGCATTACCTTTTCTATAGTTCTGACCCAGACCTAAATTCGATAGACGAAAAAAGTAACAAGGACTTTTTAAACAGTTTGTTTGGGTTTCCCATGGTAGCGATTTGAAATTATTTTTAAATAAATGTATTTTCAATAAAATCGAATTGGTTTGAATGAATGTAATTCGAATTGAGCATTTGAAAACACGTTTACATACCCTTGGCTGTTGCTGAGTGGACAGAGGTGCTTGCTGTTATTGGTTATTTATTCCAGAAGGTCCCAAGATGTTAAAATGTCAATACCAGGGACCGAAAATAACAGTTTGTTTTTTTTGATGTTATAAAAGTCCGGGGGAAAATATTGTCGTAAAGTTATCTATGTTCATTCGATCTAAGGACCTCCTGGAAAAGAATTGTGAATTAATTTTATTTTTCGAACTTTTTGGGAATAAGTCCAATAATAACTGGAAAATCCGGACTTCTATTTTTTTTGACCAGTAATAACTGTTAAACTTGGGCAATTATTTTTTAAGTCCGAAATAAAAGTCCTTTTGTAGTAATAAACAAACCGCTTATCCAAATTAAACAAATTTTTATTCTTTGGGGCTTATCACACTGACACCCTGACTATTTTGGACTTAGCAAATTTGTGTATCACTGAATGGAAATCAAATAGGTAGTTGGATCTTTCAGAAATTTGTTCTTGCTTCTTGCATCAAAATATAATTTTTTAGAAAAAGTGGACTTAGCAGCAAATTTTCACTCTTAGCTAGCGATATGTAGTTTTAAAAAGTGAAATAAAATATGTTTTTTAAAATATCACACTTCGCTGCTTTTGAACTGGTGGGGATCTAGTTACTGTCAGACTGGTTCGTTTTTGTTTGTAAAGTCATCCGGACGTTATCGGGTGCTTGTTTTCTTTAAACTAGTTTCTATTTAAATATCCTCCATACAACAATTACTTTGAATACACTTTTTCTGCACTTCACAGATGCTTTTTCGAATTCAAGACAAATAAATTGAAGATCGAAATTTCATATTATTATTTTGATGTTTTGTCTGACAGAGTTCGAATATGGGACCAGCTACAGCCAAACATATAAGCAAATAAACAAATAAGTATGTATGTAAAGTTAGTAGAACAAATAAATAAAAAAATGTAAACAATTAAACAATTATTTTTCTTATTAATATTTTTTGACCAAAAGTAGTTAGTTACAAGTTAGTTGACACCTAATGCAGAGGAAACCAGTTCTCACTTTTTTGCGCCCATCGACCTTCAAAGTTGTTAGTTGCGGCCGAAGGAAAAAAAAGGAATAAAAAGTTTCAACTAGTAGACTGCTGGGCTGACTTATAACTAATAAGTTATTTAGTACAAAGACGCACATATACATACATAAATAAAAATTGATATAGGTGAGAGGATGACTATACTATAAAGCGCTGTTCACTTTATTATCCAAACGATTGAATGTGACAGGTGAGTTTAGAATTTATATGCATATGAACACTCACTTGCACTTGAATGGGAATAATGCTTTTTGGTCTTTTCCGGGTTATTTTTCATTTATTTAATTTCCATTATTTTCAAGCCTTTATTATTATCAACCTGTGTGCAATCAAATATGGCAATCAATTTTTAACCAACTTCCCGGTGAGCTATAAACTTGAAACTATACATTTTGCCCAGAACCCGATCACAATTCGATGTGAATTAATCCGCTAGGTGGCGCGGGTGTCGGGATATTTGAAAACACCCTATCTATGGACCGATATGGTTCTTATTTGGAATGTATGTATATTACCTACATGTAAAGGAATAACCACACAAAAATTTAGACTTTTTACCACCTGAATAAAACAAAATCCAAATCTGGCCCCAAAATCGCTCTAGCAGTCGTCATAGCTAATAGCGAAGTGCTGCACATTAAAACTGGTGGAATGATGCCCTGGGCAAAACTAAAAATTTGGTTTTCATAATATCATAGCTACCATGTCAAACTATCGAATGTGAAATTATAGCATGAGCATGAGAACATTACGCAAGTTGGCAAATCGTCAAATTTCTAGTCTTCTTAGAAGCAGAGGTTACTGGCTTTTAAAAAGTTTCGAAATCCACACTTTTTCCTAATGACAACAACATTTTTTACAACGTTTTTTTTTGCTGTTTGTTTTTTAATTTTTAACCAACAACCTGTTTAGAAGATAGAAAGACGGCATAATTGTTTTTCGTTTTTGTGAAATGAGTTACTATCGCTTTAATTTGGAAGTGACGAAGAAGTCATATCGTGGCGACAGGCGATGAAAGTCTCTTCCATATGCTGGTAGGGATAACATAGAACCGAACCTATGGCATAGCATCGCTTCTAGAAAAAACCCTATCGTCAACCTAATAGCTGAAATACAATGAAGGCGAACGGCGAACTCACCACAGCGAAATTCGCGCTATGAAAATTAGAACACATATGAAATTGAACACAACCAAAGCGAAATGCGAAGTTCGCTCGGCGGCGTTTCATGGCGATAGATTTATTTCTATCGCCCTGCTGGGCGATGACCGCTGTGCGTGGCAAAGGTGGCCATATTTCTTTTTTGCTTTCAAAGTTTTAAAAGAAAAAAAATATAGAATTATTTTTGATGTTCGGAAAATATAGTTGTGGATTCGTTAAATCTGGCTTAGAACAGTTGAATAGTTTATAATAATCTCTCTTTATTTTAAAATTTATATTTATTATCATTTGCTCATTTTGTAAATATGGTTTAGTTTTTTTCTAAATATGTTCACCCAAATTATAAAGGAGACCAAATGGGATCAGCTCTTTTCGCTACCGCTCTA